ATCCAGTGTGATTAGAACCTGGTGTGTACTAAGTAAACAAGCTATGTTATTCCAGGCCCATGACCCTTCTCCAGCCTGGCTGAAGACCTCGGGTTTAATCGGAAAAGGCTGACCCAGCGATCTCTGGGCCAGTGGGCCTGGAGCATGGATGAAAGGGTGTTCCATGCTGAAGACAGGATTAAGTGAGAGCCCAGGCAGGCAATTGAAAGAGTCCTGAGGAAACAACAGCATGAGAGGAAAGTGAGCTAGTCAGACACCTAAAGTCTTCATCTTTCACATTCGGTAGCCATTAAAATCTAAAACTGATGAGTTCACAAAAGCATATAATGTAGCAACACGGAACTAAATTTCCAAAGAAATGGGAAGATGGGAAGTCGTCGCCTCTTGGAAGCAGGGAAATAAGGGGTGAGGGTGCCATGGGAATGCTTTTTGTTTGTTTTGTTCTATACTTTATACAATATTTGACCTTTTATTTTTTAAATATATTTTTATTGATTTCAGAGAGGAAGGGAGAGGGAGAGAGAGAGAAACATCAATGATGAGAACGAATCATTGATTGGCTATCTCCTGCACACCCCACCCCTGGATAAAGCCTGCAACTCGGGAATGTGCCCTGATCGGAATTGAACCCTGACCTCCTTGTTCACAGGTCAACACTCAACCACTGAGCCATGCCAACCCGGCAATATTTGACCTTTTAAATGAGCCACTTAAAAATGACAACAAAATCACAGAAAAAGAAGAAAGGGATCTTACAAGCCAGTAGATACTTGGAAGGAGAATGATAAAAGAGAGAAATTGCCCAAGTGACAAAGCACCCTAAACATCAGGGAAGGGTAGAGATTGGGAAAAGAGAACAAAGCCATGCGCCCCAGAAATGACAGCAAAGAAAGTAACGCAGGGGGTAGGATATTGCCACAACCTGATCAGAACATCCTTTTTGGAGTTAGGATGGTGGTGCAACTTGAAGCGTCTGCCTTAAGCTCCGTCAGTCAGAGTCCTCACCAGTTAATGGGCATAGTACTCAAGCCCAGGGACAGTGAGCAGAGTACATGACATAACACACAATGTCAACAGCATAAAGTACTAGACAGTGAGAGGGAAAACCCAAGTCCTTCCCAGAAGCTGTGAAGAGCTCTCCTCTTGAAAGCAAGAGGGATTTTATTATGATTAGGCACTGTAATAAGTCTTATCTATAATGAAGACAGACCAGAGTGAGATGAAGCTGTAATTGGCAAGAGGTAGCAGCCACTCATTAGCTGGGAGAATGGATATTGGGTTCTGACATACTGCCTCTGTGTCTCCAACACCCTACTTGGCTCCACCGCCCCTAGTTGGGCTCCAACACCCAAGGTTCTGAAATCCTTACACTGCTCAGGTTGATGCCGCCATGCTGGTCCATTCCACCACTTGGAATGCCCTCTAGGAGGCTTCCGCCCTGCACCAAGCCACCCCCTGCATAAACAGCCACCTCATCCTGCTCAGGCTCCGAAACCCTGCTCTGAGCCAATTTAAGGCTTTGGGACTAAACTGTTCAGGAAGAGAAGAGGAAGAGCAATATGTGTTACAATTTGAAATAAAGCAAGTCATTCTCTGATGGACTATGCATGGTCTTTTTTAAAAAAAAAAATATTTTGTAGATTTTTTACAGCGAGGGAGGGAGAGGAATAGAGAGTTAGAAACATTGATGAGAGAGAAACATCAATCAGCTGCCCCCTGCACACCTCCCACTGGGGATGTGCCCGCAACAAAGGTACATGCCCTTGACCAGAATCGAACCTGGGACCTTTCAGTCTGCAGGCCGATTCTCTATCCACTGAGCCAAACAGGCCAGGGCTATGCATGGTCTTTTTAAAAAATATATATTTTTATTGATTTGTGAGAGGGAGAGAGTGATAGAAACATCAATGATGAGAGAGTCATTGATTGGCTGCCTCCTGCACACTCCCTACTGGGGATCAAGCCTGCAACCCTGGCATGTGCCCTGACCGGAATCGAACCCATGACCTCTTTTTTTTTTTTTTTCTTTTTTTTATTATTATTATTTATTTATTTTTTAATTAAATCTTTATTGTTCAGATTATTACATTTGTTCCTCTTTTTTTTCCCCACATAACTCCCCTCCTCCCAGCTCCCGCCCCACCCTCCGCCCTCACTCCCCACCCACTGTCCTCTTCCATAGGTGCACGATTTTTGTCCAGTCTCTTCCCGCATCTCCCACACCCCTTTCCCCCCCAAGAATAGTCAGTCCATTCCCTTTCTATGTCCCTGATTCTATTATGATCACCAGATTATTTATTCACTTGATTCTTAGATTCACTTGTTGATAGATGCATATTTGTTGTTCATAATTTGTATCTTTACCTTTTTTTTTCTTCTTCCTCTTCTTAAAGGATACCTTTCAGCATTTCATATAATACTGGTTTGGTGGTGATGAACTCCTTTAGCTTTTCCTTATCTGTGAAGCTCTTTATCTGACCTTCAATTCTGAATGATAGCTTTGCTGGATAAAGTAATCTTGGTTGTAGGTTCTTGGTATTCATCACTTTGAATATTTCTTGCCATTCCCTTCTGGCCTGCAAAGTTTCTGTTGAGAAATCAGCTGACAGTCGTATGGGTATTCCCTTGTAGGTAACTGGGTTTCTTTCTCTTGCTGCTTTTAAGATTCTCTCTTTGTCTTTTGCTCTTGGCATTTTAATTATGATGTGTCTTGGTGTGGTCCTCTTTGGATTCCTTTTGTTTGGGGTTCTCTGCGCTTCCTGGACCTGTAGGTCTATTTCTTTCACCAGGTGGGGGAAGTTTTCTGTCATTATTTCTTTAAATAGGTTTTCAATATCTTGCTCTCTCTCATCCTCTGGCACCCCTATAATTCTGATGTTGGTGCGCTTGAAGCTGTCCCAGAGGCTCCTTACACTATCTTCATATTTTCGGATTCTTTTTTCATTTTGCTTTTCCAGTTGGGTGTTTTTTGCTTCTTCGCATTTCGAATCTTTGACTTGATTCTTGCGCTCCTCTGGTCTGCTGTTGGGTGTCTGTATAATATTCTTTATTTCAGTCAGTGTATGCTTAATTTCTAGTTGGTTCTTTATCACAACATCGAGGGTCTCATTAGATTTCTTGAGGATCTCACTACATTTATCGGCGGTCTCACCAGTCTTTTCGAGGGCCTTACTAAGTTTATCGGCAGCTTCTAGACAGTTCTTAAGAGACCTTAAAAGTGTGGTTCTGAACTCAATATCCTCCATTGACAGTTTTGTCCTGTTTCTTTGTCTCCGCATTTTTTATGCTTTCTTGGTGCACCCCCTAGTGGTCTTTGTCCGCAGTCTTGTTGCCTTTAAGCCTTGATTGATGTCGGCAATACTGGGGTGATTTGACCTCCAGGCTAACTGGCTATGAGAGTCTGCTGTGTCTGTAGTGGGAGGGCTTCTGTGCTGGATCTCTAGGGCGGTGCTAATCTAGCGTTTGCCTGAGGCTATCTGGCAAATGGCGCTGCGCAGGGCTTGGGCGGGGCGGGTCCCCGGGGATCTACAGGGCGGGCGGAACAAGCAGTTATGGCGACTCTCAGTTCCTTCCCCAGGGGCTCTGCCTCTCAGAGCCCCAGCAATGGCTGCAAACCTCGGAGAGAAAGCTGCCTTCGAGTTCCGACCGAAGCCAGACAGTCCCGTTTCTCCCGTTTCTCCCGTTTGAGTCTGGGTCCCCAGAGACTCGCCCGGATCTGGAGCTCAGAGTCTGAAACTCCCTCCCGATTGAAAACAACAACCGCGCCCTCCGCCGCCAGCCCGCTCCGAGCGCGCACTCTGCACCTTAGTATTTCACTTCAGCACTGCGCCTCCTCTGAGTCTGGGTATGATATTCTCTTTCCTCCTAGTTGTAGAATTTCCACTCAGCCAGCCTTCCCGTGGTTCTGGGTGATGTCCGTTCTGTCCTTTAGTTATATCTCTGAAGTGGTTGTTTGAGGCAGCGATCTCCGGCGTTAACCTATGCCGCCATCTTGGTTTCTCAGAACCCATGACCTCTTGGTTCACAGACTGATGCTCAACCACTGAGCCACGCCGGCTGGGCTATGCATGGTCTTAAACATGTTCTTTGCCTTTATGAGCCAAGGTTTTCTCTTTAAAATGTAGGACTAATGAAGTCTGGCCCACAATCCAGAATAACTGACCAAGTGTAAGCTCACTATTCTTTGGCACACTGCCTTTCCAAGCATAAAGTCGTTTCCTCAGTCCAAGACTTTCACATTTATCTGCCAAAGACTCTTAACAGCACCAAAAGATTAATATTTTTTAAAAGGTTATGATTTGCATTTTTCTTTATGAAAAAATTCAATTGACTATTTAAAAATTATTTGGCAGGTAAATTGCAAATCTTTGGTCCAAATCTTTAAATAAAGCTGATGCTACAAGAAGATGCAACATATTTTTTATTCCACAGAACAGGCGTGTGGTTGCATAAACATAGTCACGATTCCACTGGTACCCATCATGTCCCACATCTCCAGATACTCAGATTCACATATACCATCTTCATACAGTCTGGCTTGCACCCAGACACCCCACAATCCCAGTCACACTCTGACCCACACATCCACACCATCCAACGCGTATTACGACAGGCACAGGCAGTCACAATCTCCCACCGAACCTGTCACCTCGCTGCTTACAGTCACCAATCAGGCTCCCAAGCGTTCTGTGACCAACAGCAGCGGGGCGAGGTTGGTCCCGCAACCCTCACGGTGACACACATGCGCACGTTCACAAGGCCAGATACAAAGAGACACACACACACATTCTTTAAAAATACACATATAGTCGCCGAAACCGGTTTGGCTCAGTGGATAGAGCGTCGGCTTGCGGACTGAGGGGTCCCAGGTTCGATTCCGGTCAAGGGCATGTACCTGGGTTGCGGGCACACCCCCAGTAGGAGGTGTGCAGGAGGCAGCTGATCGATGTTTCTCTCTCATCGATGTTTCTAACTATCTCTCTCCCTCTCTCCCCTCCTCTCTGTAAAAAATCAATAAAATATATTAAAAAAAAATACACATATAGCTGTGTACCAGAAGCTGGGACTACCTCTGGGGAAAAAACTGACAAAACCCGCCTCCCAGCTCCCGCCGACCGAGGCCCAGCACTGTGGCAGCCGGCGAATCCGCACAGCCCAGACAGCACCCGGGTGCGACTGCCCCTCGGCTTACCCAGCGGCTCGCGGGCCCCGCCCGCGGTAGCCTTCCAGTCCGCGCGCGTCTGGGCCTGCGCCAGCGCATTCAGCGCCCGAACCCACCGGCTCCCGGCTGTGGACTACATTTCCCAGAATCCCCAAGGGCGGCGTTAGCAGCGACTCTGAGGACCCTCTGTGGTGCGTTCTAGGTGCTTCAGGCAGCGCGGGTGAAATCTGTCTGTCGCAGTCGGAGCGGGTGGACGTGGGGGGAGGGTAGTGGGCCTAAGTGAGAGGGAGAGGGCCTCCTCGGAGTAGGAGTGGGGTTGGGGCTGCAGCCCAAAGTAAGGGGCCTGGGGCGCGGGCGGGGCGCATCGCGCAGGGAGCCTCAAACCTGCGCGTGAGGAGCACAGGAGGGGGACTACGATTGAGTGTGACTGGCGGTGTGTGCGCGTGCGCGCGCGGGGCCTGCCGTCGACCGGGTGGGGCTTCCGTGACCGTGACGGTGCGTGCGATTGTGAGGCTGCCGCGGGTGCTTACCCCGCCCTCCTCACGGCCCACAGAACAGTGTCCCCAAAGAGGGAAGTCAATACCGTGTTGAGCCCTAAGACGAGGGTTCCCAGGTACAAGGCCCACTCCTGGACTTGGGATGGGACTTTCGAAGCTAGAAGTGTCCCTACCACTGACTTCTGGGAAGAATGAGGGAGGGTCCCTTCTTGGAGGCAACGTGGATGCTACATTTTTCAGAACCACAGCATTTCCATACCCCCAACCTGGGACTCTCCTGTAAATTCAGACAGATTCCAGCCTCCCTCCCCATCTCGTTACATGTGTGCGGTTAGAGCAGATGTGGCCGGGAGGACATTTTCTCGGTCTGTCTGTGGTGTCTCATGAGCCCCTTCTTCCCCTGTCCTGCCATTCTCCCAAACACGCTCCTGCAGAAGAGGGAGCTGTTGCACATCTGAAAGTCCAGATCAGGTGAGCTGGTATTTCCTCTTTGTTCCTTCCTGCATTTTTGTTTTTAGAAAATGGAAACATTGTGCCAGGCTGGTGTGGCTCAATGAACCAGGAGGTCTGGGTTCAATTCCCAGATCCCTGGTGGGTGGCGTGCAGGAGGCAGCTGACCTATGATTCTCTCTCATCATTGATGTCTCTCTCCCTCTCCCTTCATCTCTGAAATCAATAAAAACATATTTTAAAAAAGAAAATGGAAACATTGCTTTTATTTTCCTGAAATGTCCAGTGGCCTATCCTAAGCCTTTTCCCCCAGTGGCTGATGGTCATGTAGATCCTCTCCTCATTGGTCCTCACATGCTGCCTCCTCATTTTTCAGCTCCTTCCTCTGCACTCACTTTTGTTGTTGTTGATATTGTTGTTGTGTTAATTTTCACCCTAAGATATTTTCCCATTGATTTTTAGAGAAAGGGGGAGAGACAGAAACATTGATGTTCGAGAGACACATTGATTTGTTGCTTCCAGCATATGCCCCGACCAGGGCCAGGGAACCAGCCTGCAACCGAGGTACGTGCCCTTGACCAGATGCACTCACTTTTTATAACAGTAAGAAATGCTTATTCTGGATCTAAAGGTAAAGATTTGTTTTATTTAGATTAGTGTGGAATCACATCATTGACCCCAAAAACTCAGTTTAAAAGTAAGGCAAGAGCAGCCCTACTCGGTTTGGCTCAGTGGATAGAGCGTTGGCCTGCAGACCAAAGGGTCCCAGATTTGATTCCGGTCAAGGGCACATACCTTGGTTGCAGGCTCCTCCCTGGCCCAGTCCGAGCTCGTGCAGGAGGCAACTAATCGATGTGTTTCTCTCATGTCGATATTTCCCTTTCCCTCTCTCTTCCACTCTCTCTAAAAATCAATGGAAAAATGTCATCGGGTGAGGATTAAAAAAAAAAAAGTAAGCAAGATCAGAGGTGGTTTAACTAGTGTCAGTAAGTGACATGATCATCTGCTTTTTAAGGCTTTGGGGAGCAGGAATGTCATTGGAAGTCTGAGCATGGAAATCTGTGTCATCATGGGCAGGGTTTTTTCTAAGGAATCAATGGGTCAAGATTTATTTCTCTTTATAAAGAGTTTGTCATTAAAAAAGTACACGTGCTCCAGAGACAGAGAAGCATCAATCAGATGCTCAAACCTCAGAGGGAAGGTAGGGGAGAGTGAGGGTAAGGGGGAGAGATCAACCAAAGGACTTGTATGCAGCATATAAGCAATGGACACAGACACCAGAGGGGTGAGGGCATGAACGGGAGTGGGGGGGGGGGCGAGTAATGAGGGGATAAGGACACATATGTAATAACTTAATCAATAAAGAAAAAAAAAGTACACGTGCCCTGGCCACTGGCTCAGTTGATTGGAGCATGGTCCCATACACCAAAAAGTTTGTGGGTTCGATTTTTTTATATGTTTTTATTGATTTCAGAGAGAGAAAGAGGGAGAGAGAAATAGAAATATGAATGATGAGAGAAAATCATTAATTGGCTGCCTCCTGCACGCCCCTTACTGGGCATGGAGCCCAAAACCCAAGCATGTGCCCTGACTGGGAATTGAACCCTGACCACCTGGTTCATAGGTTGACGCTCAACCACTGAGTCACACCAGCCAGGCGTGGGCTCCATCCCTGGTCCAGGCATCTTTAGGAGGCAACCGATCAATGTTTCCTTCTCACATCGATATTTCTTTCTCTCTCTCTCCCAAATCAGTAAACATATCCTCGGTGAGAATATTTTTTTTTAATTAAATCTTTATTGTTCAGTGCTGGGGTCCAGCCCCAGCAGGTCCAGGGGTCCCCAAAGGTGTGGACAGAGTCAGCGAAGAAGGAATGACACGGAGGCAGCGTTCAGTTGATCAGCAGCCTAGCCAGGATCTCTAGCCAGGATCTCCAGCCAAGTTCTGGTCAGGATCTCCAGCGAAGTTCTGGTTAGGATCTCCAGCCAGGTTCTGTGTCCATGTTCTCTTGCTAGGTTCTCCAGGTTCTCCAGCCAGGTTCTGTAGCCATGTTCCCTCGCTAGGTTCTCCAGCCAGGTTCTGTCCAGGTTCTCCAGCCAGGTTCAGTCACCAGGTTCTAGTCAGGTTCTCTTGCCAATTTCTGTAGTCAGGTTCAGTCCAGGATCTTTTGCCATGTTCTCTCCAGCGAAGTTCTTCTGTCTGTAGGTTCTGTGTAGGTTCTGTCTTCTAAGTTCTGTCTTCTAAGTTCTGTGTGTAGGTTCTGTTTTCTCCTGGTTCTGTCTTCTAAGTTCTGTGCGTAGGTTCTGTCTTCTGAGTTCTGTGTTCTAAGCTCTGTCTTATTACATCTGTATTTATACCAGTTGATTCAATCCTATCAATCTCTATTACAAAGGTTAGGGCGTTTCTTATCTCCATTCCAGGGAGTAAAGATTATGTAGCTTAAGCATGATTGTTTGTAGTTAAAGTGATTAACTACCCGCCTGGCACTTAGTTAAGGAGTTTCATCCCCTCCCTGACTTCAGAGAAAAATTCCTACCTGGGGAAACAACCTTTCTAGGAGAGGCATCCCCTCCCTGACTTCAGGGAAAAATTCCTACCTGGGGAAACAACCTTTCTCGGAGAGGTGACCTTGGTTAAAACACACAGCGCTAAGGGAAGCAAACATATTAAGAACAGTATGCTAGCCGAAACCGATTTGGCTCAGTGGATAGAGCGTCAGCCTGCGGACGGAAAGGTCCCAGGTTCGATTCCGGTCAAGGGCATGTACCTGGGTTGTGGGCACATCCCCAGTGGGAGATGTGCGGGAGGCAGCTGATCGATGTTTCTCTCTCATCGATGTTTCTAACTCTCTATCTCTCTCCCTTCCTCTCTGTAAAAAATCAATAAAATATATTAAAAAAAAAAAAAAAAAAAGAACAGTATGCTATATACGCCAGGTCCCTTGAAACATATGCTGTGCAGATGTTTCTATCCTGTAGCGACTGTGTCAAGCAGCAAGGATGGACCGGCTTCCGGCAGTTCAGATTATTACAGTTGTTCCTCTTTTTCCCCCCCATAACTCCCCTCCACCCGGTTCCCACCCCACCCTCTGCCCTCACCCCCCCCCCACTGTCCTCCTCCATAGGTGCACGATTTTTGTCCAGTCTCTTCCCGCATCCCCCACACTCCTTCCCCCCCCCCCCAAGAATAGTCAGTCCACTCCCTTTCTATGCCCCTGATTCTATTATAATCACCAGCTTATTCTGTTCATCAGATTATTTATTCACTTGATTTTTAGATTCACTTGTTGGTAGATGTGTATTTGTCATTCATAATTTGTATCTTTACCTTTTTCTTCTTCCTCTTCTTAAAGGATGCCTTTCAGCATTTCATATAATACTGGTTTGGTGGTGATGAACTCCTTTAGCTTTTCCTTATCTGTGAAGCTCTTTATCTGACCTTCAATTCTGAACGATAGCTTTGCTGGATAAAGTAATCTTGGTTGTAGGTTCTTGGCATTCATCACTGTGAATATTTCTTGCCAGTCCCTTCTGGCCTGCAAAGTTTCTGTTGAGAAATCAGCTGACAGTCGTAGGGGTACTCCCTTGTAGGTAACTTACTGTCTTTCTCTTGCTGCTTTTAAGATTCTCTCTTTGTCTTCTGCCCTTGGCATTTTAATTATGATGTGTCTTGGTGTGGTCCTCTTTGGATTCCTTTTGTTTGGGGTTCCCTGTGCTTCCTGGACTTGTAAGTCTATTTCTTTCACCAGGTAGAGGAAGTTTTCTGTCATTATTTCTTCAAATAGGTTTTCAATATCATGCTCTCTCTCTTCTTCTGGCACCCCTATATTTCGGATGTTGGTACGCTTGAAGCTGTCCCAGAGGCTCCTTACACTATCTTCGTATTTCTGGACTCTTTTTTCATTTTGCTTTTCCGGTTGGGTGTTTTTTGCTTCTTTGTATTTCAAATCTTTGACTTGATTCTTGTGATCCTCTAGTCTGCTGTTGGAACTCTGCATAATATCCTTTATTTCAGTCAGTGTATGCTTAATTTCTAGTTGGTCCTTTTTCATAAGCTCGAGGGTCTCACTAGATTTCTTGAGGGTCTCACTACATTTACCGGCGGTCTCACCAGACTTTTTGAGGGTCTTTCTAAATTTATCGGCGGTTTCTAGAAAGTTCTTGAAAAACCTTAAAAGTGTGGTTTTGAAATCTATATCCAGTAGTTTGCTTTCCTCCCTTTCTGTCATTTGTGTCCTGTTTCTTTGTCTCTGCATTTTTTATGCTTCCCTTTGTTGATAGAATGGCTTTCTGTGCTAGGTGTCCTATAGGGCCCAGTGGCTCAGCCTCCCCAATTACCTGAGGTGGACACTCTTGGTGCACCCCCTTGTGGGCTTTGTGCACAGTCTTGTTGTAGTTAAGCCTTGATTGTTGTAGGTATCACTGGGAGAAATTGACCTCCAGGCCAATTGACTGTGAGAATCAGCTGTGTCTGCAGTGGGAGAACTTCTGTGCTGGAGACACCCCTCCAGGGCAAGACTTGCTTCAGTGGGGCTTGGTGCTCACTGAGTCTGCCCCCTGAGTGTGTCCTTTATGGATCCGAGGAGCTGCAGTCTGGATGGTCCCACTCTGACCACCGGGCACACTGGCTCCTGGATCTCTAAGGAGGTGCTAATCTAGCCTCTGCCTGAGGCTACCCAGCAGGAGCTCAGCTGTGAAGCAATGCAAGTTGCCCTGGGGCCTTGGGCCAGCTGCAGTTTGTTAGGTAATTTTCAGATTGCAAAGGGCCAGGCCGTTCATATGCAAAAGCAGGCACACAGCTTGGGGGGGGGGGGGGGTCCCAGGGGATCAACAGGGCAGAGCAAGTAGCTATGGCTGCCCTCAGAGGCCCTGCTTCTCAGTGTCCCGGCAGTCGCTGCAAGCACCTCCGAGAGAAAGCTGCCCTCGAGTTCCGACCGACGCCAGACAGTCCAGTTTCTCACGGATGAGTCTGGGTCTCCAGAGACTCGCCCGGAACTGGAGCTCAGAGCTTGAGACTCCCTACTGATTGAAAACGACAACCGTGTCCTCAGCCGCCAGCCCTCTCCGCGTGCGCCTCCGTACCTCTGTACTTTACTTCCACACCGCACCTCCTCTGAGTCTTGGTATGCTTTTCTCTTTCCTTCTAGTTGTAGAATTTCCACTCAGCCAGCCTTCCTGTGGTTCTGGATGATGTCCGTTCCGTCTTTTAGTTGTATTCTTTTTTTTTTTTAAATATATTTTATTGATTTTTTACAGAGAAGAAGGGAGAGGGATAGAGAGTTAGAAACATCAATGAGAGAAATCGATCAGCTGCCTCCTGCACACCCCCCACAGGGGATGTGCCCGCAACCAAGGCACATGCCCTTGACCGGAATCAAACCTGGGACCCTTCAGTCCGTAGGCCAACGCTCTATCCATTGAGCCAAACCGGTTCGGCTCGTTGTATTCTTGAAGTGGTTGTGCTAAGCAGCAATCTCCGGTGTTTACCTATGCCACCATCTTGGTTTTCCTCCAGGAAGTTTTTTATTTCTCTTAGTCTCATTGGTAACTTGCTCATTGTTTAATAACATGCTATTTAGCCTCCATGATTTTTTTTTTTGGTGTTTTTACTATAGTTGATTTCTAATTTCATTCCACTGTGATCTGAGATGTTTGATAATGATTTCAAGCTACTTGAACTTGTAGAGACTTCTTTTGTGTCCTAACATGTGGTCTATCTTTGTGAATGATCCATGTGCACTTGAGAAGAATTTATATTCGGTAGCTTTCGGGTAAAATGTTCTATAAATGTCAATTAAATCCATCTGATCCAGTGTGTCCTTTGAGTCACTGTTTCCTTGTTAATATTTTACCTGGAAGATCTATCCAGTGACATCAGTGGGGTGTTAAAGTCCTCTACAATGACTGTATTTTTGTCAATCTCTCCCTTAAAGTCCTCTAGAAGTTTTGTTATATATTTAGGTGCTCCTATATTGGGTGCATATATGTTTAACAGAGTTATATCTTCTTGTTGGATCGATCCCTCTAATATTATGTTGTAACCTTTGTTGTCTCCTGTGATGACCTTCATTTTGAAGTCTGTTTTGTCAGATATGAGTATTGCTACTCCAGCTTCTTTTTCTTTTCCCTTTGCATGAAAATTTTTTTTCCATCCCTTCACTTTCATCCTGTGTGAGCTTTTTGTTCTGAGGTGGGTCTCTTGTAGACAGCATATAGTTGGGTCATGTTTTTGTATCCATTCAGCTACCCTATGTCTCTGGATTGGAGCATTTAATCTACTTACATCTAAGGTATTGATAGGTAATTATTTCCATTTTAATTCTGTATGCCTAGTTTTCTCTTTCTGTTTCTTCTTTTCATTACAGTAATCCCTTTAGCATTTCTTGTAATGCTGGTTTGGTGGTGATACACTCATTTAGCCTTTTTTTTTTTTTTTTTTTTTTTTTTTGGTCTGGGAAGCTCTTTATTTCACTATCTATTTTGAATGATAGCCTTGCTTGATATAGTAATCTTGGCTTCAGATTCTTGTTTTCCATTACCTTAAGTACTTCATGCCATTCCCTTCTGCCCTGTAGAGTTTCTGGTGAAAAATCAGGTGGCAGCCTTATGGGAGCTCCTTTGTAGATAACAGTTTGCTTTTCTCTTGCTGCCTTTAAGATTTCCTCTTTGTCTTAGCCTGTTTTGCTCAGTGGATAGAGCAGTGATGGCGAACCTATGACACGCATGTCAGAGGTGACATACGAACTCATTTTTTGGTTGATTATTCTTTGTTAAATGGCATTTAAATATATAAAATAAATATCAAAAATATAAGTCTTTGTTTTACTATGGTTGCAAATATCAAAAAATTTCTATATGTGACACGGCACCAGCGTTAAGTTAGGGTTTTTCAAAATGCTGACACGCCAAGCTCAAAAGGTTCGCCATCACTGGGATAGAGTGTTGGCCTGTGAACCAAAGGGATCCAGGTTTGATTCTGCTCAAGGGCTCATACCTTGGTTGCAGACTCCTCCCTAGTCCAAGCCCTGGTCAGGACTCATGTAGGAGGCAATCAATTGATGTGTTTTTCTCACATCAATGTTTCTCTCTGTCTTTCTCCCTTCCTTCCACTCTCCCTAAAAATCAATGGAAAAATATCCTTGGGTGAGGATTAACAAAAAAACAAACAAAAAATTTCTCTCTTTGTCTTTATTTATTTATTTATTTATTTTTGGCATTTTAAATATGATGTGTCTGTATGTGGGCCTGTTGGGGTTCTTCTTGCTTGGGATTCTCTGTTCCTCCTGAATTGTGTGACTTTTTCCTTTACCAGGTTAGGAAAGTTCACTGCCATTATTTCTTCAAGCACATTCTCTATCTCTTTCTCCCTTTCTGCCTCTTCTGGCACACCTACTATTTGAATATTGTTATGTTTCATGTTGTCCCACAGTTCCCTTAGCTGTCCTTTTTTTTAAAATATATATTTTATTGATTTTTTACAGAGAGAAAGGGAAAGGGATAGAGAGTCAGAAACATTGATCAGCTGCCTCTTGCACACCCCCCACTGTGGATGTGCCTGCAACCAAGGTACATGCCCTTGACTGGAGTCGAACCTGGGACCTTTCAGTCCACAGGCCGATGCTCTATCCACTGAGCCAAACCGGTTAGGGCTGTCCTCCTTTTTAAAATTATTTTTTCTTTTTGGTTCTCTCATTAAGTGATTTTTTTCAACCCTGTCTTCTATTTCACTGATTTGATTCGATCCTTGCCTTCCCCTAATATGCTGTGTATTCCTTCCAATGTGTTCTTTATTTGTGCTATGTCATTCTTTATTTCTGTTTTCATAGTTACTATATCTTTTCTCATGCTGTTGAGCATCTTTACCATCATTATTCTGAACTCTATATCAGATAAATTTCTTATCTCCATTTCATTTATCTCTGCTTATGGAGAATTCTCTTGTTCTTTCGTTTGGGGTTGTTTCTTTGTCTCCTCATTTTGGCTGCTGTTGGGGCTGTTGACTATGTATTGGGTAGATCTGTTATGCCTCTCAATCTGTAGTGCAGGACAGTGTCAAATGCTGTTTCTGACTAATTAGATCAGGCAAAGACTCAAAGCCTCCAGAGACTACCTCTGCCTACAGAGTGTTAGGATTCCATCTTGAATAGCCCTCAGGCAATCATCCACAGGTGTGGCAAGAGTTTTTTCCAACAGGGTGGGGCAATTGCTTCTGCCTGGAGGCTAATTGTTATCCTCAAATCTCTTAATGGGCCTCAGAAACTGCACTGTGGGGCAAGGTATTTTCCAATAGGGTGGGTCAACTGTCTTCCCCCCTGGCAAAGCCCCCTCAATAGCAAATGTCTGTCTCTATGTGGTCTCCACTTTCCATCCTTGGTTATCAGGATTCTCTCCAGCGAGTCTTCTCTTGGTTATTCAGGAAGTTTTTCTGTATTTTAATTGTAATTCCAGTTTGGTCCTGGGAGTGTGTCTGTTCAGCATCCACTTACACCACCGCCATTTTTAATCTCCTTGCCAATGTCTTCATTGTGGGGGCTTCCAACCAGAACCATCCAGAGAAGCCAACTCCTCCCCCCCAAAACCAGACTCACACAAAGTATATGATAAATGTTTCTTGCTTTAAATTGCCCTTTTTAGAGAAAATATTGCTGTTGTGCATAGTGGCCACCAGATGGCGCCTGGATTCCAAGGATGGAAACGTAAAGGATGCCATTATGAGAGGTAAAATCAACATATCCTAGTCCTGAAGACAGCCGATCAATGATTCTCCTTCATCATTGATGTTTCTATCTGTCTCTCCCTCCCCTTTCCTCTCTGAAATCAATAAAAAATATTTTTAAAAAATAAAACAATGTATCACAGTCCTAATAAAAATGTCACCAGACAACTTGATTCTTAGATTAATTTGGAAGGATAATGGGCAAAAAAGGAGGAGGGGGAGAAGTGAGGTGTTTTTAATACCAGATATTAAAAACAATACAATATTATTGGTGCAGGAATAAGCATAAAGATCAAGTGAAGGATTAGAAAGCCCAGAAATAGAAACAATTGCTTATGGAAGTGTATTATATGATTGTATAATAGTTTTTAATTTAGCAATGGACTTTTTAAAAATATTTTTTTTATTTCAGAGATGAAGGGAGAGAGAGAGATAGAAACATCAATGATGAGAGAGAATCATTTATCAGCTGCCTCCTGCACGGCCCCTACTGGGGATCAAGTTCGCAACCCAGGCATGTGCCCTTGACTGAATTGAACCCAGACCCTTCAGTTCACAGGTCGATGCTCTATCCACTGAGCCAAACCAGCTAGGGCGTGATGGACTTTAGAGAAGTTTTTAATATAGTAGGGTTGGAGCAACTAGATAACCAAAAGAATAGCTTGAATCCATTCCTCACACTGGTACCAGATTAAATCCCAAGTGTATCAAAGATCTAAGTGAAAAAACACAACCTCACAAACAATAAAAGAAAATTCTGGTGAGTCCTCTAATGACCTGCCAATAGGGTAAATTTTCCAACTATTCATCAAAATCCAGAAGCAATAAAAGAGAATTTTGTTAAATGGCCAAACAAAAATGAAAAATTTGTGCTGTTCCAAAACACAAACCCTCCAGACACAAGCTGAAAACTTCAGATAACAAAATAAGAAAAATATGTTCAACTTATATCACAAAGGACTAGTATTCCTAAAATGTGAAAAGCTTCTAAAAATTGAGTGGGAAAAGACCAAGAAATCTCTTAAAAATGGGAAAGATACGTGAACAGAGCGTTAACTTAAAAAGAAATGCAAATATTTCCACATATGATATGCTCAACTTCATTCATAATAAAAAAAAATAAAACTGTACTGAAATCCTTTTTCTCACCTATCGACTAGCAAAAGTCCAAACGTTTGACAAAACTCCATGGGCAATGCTGTGGGGAAAGAGGGATTCTCACACCTTGCTGGTGAAATGCAAAAAAGTAAAAAAATAAAAACAAAACAAAAACCCTCATCTAGGATTCTATTGCAAAGACCTGCAGATGGAAAAATAAAATGCCACGTAAGTGTGCCTCTTCATTGCAGCACTATTTATAATAGCAAAAAACTGGCAACTATTGATGTGTCCATCTATATATATAAAAGGCTAATATGCAAAGTGTCCCCTCGGGAGTTTGACTGGAAGACTGAGTTCAATTGTGTGCTTACCACCAGGGGGCGGCGCAGAACGAAGGAAGGCCCCATGGACAGCTGGCAGCCAGAAGGCCCCCATCAGCCCTGATCGCCTGCCAAGCCTAGGGACCCTACCCATGCATGAATTTCGTGCACTGGGCCTCTAGTGAATAATAAAGTACTGGTTAAATCAACTATGCAATCCACAGAAATAGAATACAATAGAGCTGTAAAAAGAAATATATTAGGATTATATATATATATATACACTAGAGGCCCAGTGCACGAATTTGTGCATGGGTGGGGACCCTCGGCCTGGCCGGCAATCAGGGCCAATTGGGGCCAGCCAAGGGGAGGGACTGCTGCTGGCCAGGGGAGGGGCCGTGGGAGGTTGGCTGGCCATGGGAGGTTGGCTGTGGAAGTGCACTGACCACCAGGGGGCAGCTCCTGCATTGAGCGTCTGCCTCCTGGTGGTCAGTGTGCATCATAGCTACCAACTGGTCGTCTGGTCATAATGCTCACTTAGGCTTTTATGTATATAGATAAGGGGGGGGCGGTAGTGACCTCCAAGATTCAGTGATTCCTCACCTAATATTATCAATAGGTTCTGTGACTAAGCAAAACAACTTACACTAAAACCATTTTACCATGAGTTAATTGATATAAACAAGAGTTAAGTTCTGAACATTATATAAAAAACGACATTGATTGAAACGCTGTTATTCAAGGACCTGCTGTATAGTTAAGTGGGGAAAAAGCAAGGTGCAGGAAGCAGCACCGGGGCTCCTGGAGCTGGGGGAACAGACTGTGCGCCCCCGCCTGGCGCTGATGTTGCTGACGGAACTGGTTTTGCAAGTGTTAGAAAATGACAAACTGGATTCAGCTGTTGCTACAGGAAGGCACTGCCAAGGCTGCTGCCAGTGAAGTGAAATGTCCTCACAGTAACAGATGGCAAGTCCCTTCTGGGGAAGGTGTGCAACCACGCAGGGAAGGGGTTCCCGGGAGGCAGGACTTTCAGTGATAAAATGGGGAGAGTCCTGGGCAAACCGGGAGGAGTTGGTCACGCTCCTGCTGAAGTCTCCTGGCAAACCCTGTTTCCCGAGTACGACAGAGAGCCGTCTGGCACCGGCCCCGCAGAAACGTGGTTTCCCAGCTCAGCGTTGGAAAGTGGGGAGCCGGAGGGTGGGCTTGGAGCTCAGAGACAGTAACTTCATAACTGATACTGACTCCAAACAATCTCCTGCTTCTCTGCTATCCACCCTGGGGCTGCCATCAGAGGCGCTTTCTACGTTGGTAAAACTGATCATTTCAGACTCTTGACAAAATAATTTCAATACTGCCTATGATTTTGTGATGTGTAATAAATATTTAGTCTGTATTCTCTTTCTCGGCACAAAGCTCCTAAAACCCTTGGAGTTTTCTTTCCTACGTGAGAAGAGGATAAAGGTGAAAGGAGCGTCTTTGGTTAACAAGCCCCTTTCAACCACACCTGACTTTTGGAAAGCCTGCAGGTAACCTAGGGACCGACTGGGGCTGGTTGCTTAGAGGGTTGTAATTTTCAGACCCACCCACCCAGGCTGGAGGTTGAGGTAATCACCAATGGCCATAGAGCTGGTCAATCAAGCCTACATAATGAAGGCTCCCGAAAAACTGCTGAGGGGTTCAGAGAGCTTCTGGGTTGGTGAACGGCAGGAAATTGCTCCCCTCCCTCCAGATCTTGCACTATGTGTCTCTTCCATTTGGCTGTTCCCCAGTTGTATCCTTTTATAACAAACCAGTAGGTGGATTGTTTTCCTGAGTTCTGTGAGCAGTTCTGGCGGGAATCCCCACTTCGTAGCCAAGTCGGACAGACTGTGGGTAACCTAAGGCCCACTACTACTTGCAGTTTGCATGGGGCGGGGGTGTCTTGTGGGACTTGAGCCCTTCGCCTGTGGGATCTGATGCTAACTCCAGGGAGACAGTGTCACAATTTAATTGAATTATAGGACACCCAGCTGGTGTCAGCAGAGAAGTGGAGAACTTCTTGGTATGGGAAAGAAACCCACGCATTGGTGAGCAGAACTGAAGTACTGAGAGTAGAATGGTGAGGAGAGGGAGAAAGAGCGTTTTTCCTTTTCACTGTCTACTAGCCAATCAGGGTGAAATTTCAACTTCAGCATAAACGCCTCTTCAAAGTTATTTTCAGCTACAGCCCAGCCTCATCTTTGTTCCTGATCTTGATGCTCTGGAAATATATCAACCTATGGGTTCCTAAAGCAAACCACATTCTCAAGTTGCTAGACTTTGAATATACTATTCCCTCATTTGGATGAAAAGCACAGAGACCCCTTTTTGAGAAGAAAACGTAAGGTCAGAATATGTGCTTCCCCTTTAAGAATGAAAGTTAGCGTTTTCAATCGATAAAGTATAAGCTGGATTTAAAAGCCAATGAAAATCTTAAAGTAAATGTATTTTTCAATTCCACAGAATTTACTGTTCTTAAAAAAAGATAAGAACACTCCCCGTGCTAATGAAACTTGTTAGTTTTTATTTCCTGCTAAAGCTATTTTTACTTGAATTCTCTTTAAGGCTTGAAACATTTTTAGATAAATTCCATAGATGAAAAGCGATAGTTGGTTTGAAAATTAGACATGGTTTATAAAATCATGTCAAATGATCTAAAAGATTTAACAATAGTTTTCTAAGCTGGTTCTTCAACTTGAAGGCCATAAACTTCTTGTGTGGTTAAGAGCATGATTTTGTTTTTTTTCTCTCTCTCTCTCTCTCTACTGCAATACTTTTTAAAAAATGAATCATGTGGTTTCTGTCCAGTCTTGTTTTTTCCCAACATGAATCCCTTGTGAAGGCTTCCAGGGCAAACGGGCTCTTTATCGGATCCCACTAGAGCAGCGGTTCTCAACCTTCCTAATGCCGCGACCCTTTAATACAGTTCCTCATGGTGTGGTGACCCCCAATTTCATTGTTACAAATTGAACATAATTAAAGCATAGTGATTAATCACAAAAACAATATGTAATTATATATGTGTTTTCCAATGGTCTTAGGCGACCCCTGTGAAAGGGTTGGGTCGCGACCCACAGGTTGAGAACCGCTGCACTAGAATCAACACCTGTTTTAGTTGAATCACAGTGGTTTGCATGACTGTCTTCCCACTTAGCTGTTCTCCTTTTGGGCAGTAACTGTGGGTTTTGGTCTTCGGACTCCATGTTTTTAGCGCAATATCGTTCCTATGGTAGGCACTCATCAGACAGTTCTTGAGTGAATGCAACAGCGCTTTTGATAAAAGTGTGTTGTTCCAAGCCAGCCCAGCCAGTTATTCTCTAACCTTAGGCAAGTGCACAAGGCTCCCTGGGTCTCAGCTGACTCTGGGGTGGAAGGCAGAGTGCAGTGGCTGCTGTGAGTGCTCGCCACACTGCTCCGCCTGGCAGTTGCCCGTGGTGTGGCCTTGCCCATGGGAATGAACAGCCCTGGGGCACCTTCCCTTCCCACAGAAAAGGGATGGTAATGTTACCAAACCAAATGGCATGAGGCTCAGTGTGCCAGTCAATGCACAGCAAACACTGGAGTTTGCAATGGAGAATTAAAGCCATTTTATCTGCAGGGCACCAAGAAGGAGAACAGGAATCCATCTATTGCTTGAAACCTCGACCCCCTGATGGCTTTTAAGCCAGGGTTTGAAACGCAAAGACTGAGGATG